CAGTGACCGACGGACAGTGCCCACAGCGAGCCCCACGTTTCTGAGGCCACAGCACCCGCTTCCCACGGTCGCCGAGCCGCCCCCAGGACCCCCCGGGGAGCCCCCCTTACGTTTCTCTGTGAAACAGGCAGCTCGGTGAGGCGACACTGAGTGGTTAGGGTGCTTTTTAGGGTGGCCTCGGCCTTCCAGTGTCACGTGGACATTCTGTCAACTTCCCAGGACTTCGTCCTTCCGTGATGTTGGGGGGCCCTGTCTAACTGGGGGTGACTCACAGCGAGGATAAGAGAGAACTGGGCCCTCTGGGTACGCTGAGCTGTTTTCCTCCTGACTGACCCGAACCGCGTGTGAGCGGCCACGGGGCTGCGGTGTGAGTTCTGGGAGGCGCCGAACCTGCAGCTGCTCCCTCAGCTCCCACGTCCGCCCAGCAGGACCCCTGAGACGCACACGGCACCCACACACCGAGAGCATTGACACGTCGGCAACACTGACCGGCGCTCCTCCATCTCCCGTCCCCGTCAGCACCCACGAGGCCTGTCTGACTCGCTTGGATTGTGACTCGTCCCCAGCACAACCCGGTTCCTGTGGTTCCCCAGCACACAAGCACCTCACAGGTCTGCGCCCCACCGCTCAGTCCACACCTACTCATGCATGAGGTTGGGGCACTGTTTCAGCGAAAACTGGACAGGCCGCCTCCCATTCTCGGGGGCGATGGTTGACCTGCTGCCTCGGCTCACGGATGGCCTGGGAGCGGGCACTGGGCTCACGGCATCGCCTGGGAGCGGGCACTGGGCTCACGGCATCGCCTGGGAGCGGGCACTGGGCTCACGGCTTCGCCTGGGAGTGGGCACTGGGCTCACGGCTTCGCCTGGGAGCGGGCACTGGGCTCACGGCTTCGCCTGGGAGCGGGCACTGGGCTCACGGCTTCGCCTGGGAGTGGGCACTGGGCTCACGGCATCTCCCGGGAGCGGGCACTGGGCTCATGGCTTCGCCTGGGAGCGGGCACTGGGCTCACGGCTTCACCTGGCAGTGGGCACCGTCCGACACGGCCCGTGGGGGTCTCGTAGCCTTGGGGTCGGACCAAGTCCGTTTCGGGTGCCTCCTTCACGCCCCTCCCCACGTGCTCCTCACGCCCGGGTCTGTTAGAAGGAGGGGTTCCCTTCACTAGTTCTGCAGGGTTTTCTGGAAGCTTTGCCCGAAGGCGCCATGTTCTTGCTGGGGCCGCTCTGAGAGCCACTGGGCGTGTTGTCCGGAGCTGACGGCTGGGAAAGTGCAGACTCCGAGCATTTACTCTCATGGTCCCGCTCACGGCAGGGCCTCCGGCCAGGCAGGAGCCACATCCATTTCCTTGGAGTGTCGACGGCGTCGCCGCGGGTCTGTGTGTCCTTTCATCCCCTCACTTAGGGCTCCAGTCACCGCGTCACCCCTCCTCTCTCTCTCTCTCTCTCTCTCTCGATATTCTTTTTTTTAGAAAAAGAGAAAGAGAAAGACATTGACCTGTTGTTTCATCTATTTACGTATTCATCGGTTGATTCTTTTTTTAAAAAACATATATTTTTATTGATTTCAGAGAGGAAGGGATAGGGAGAGATAGAAACATGAATGATGAGAATCACTGATGGGCTGCCTCCTGCAGGCCCCCCACTGGAGACCGAGCCCACAACCCGGGCCTGTGCCCTGGCCGGGAATCAAGTGGTGACCTCCTGGTTCCTAGGTCGATGCTCAGCCCCTGAGCCCCGGCGGCCGCTGGGCACGGCTTCTTTTCTCCCATCACACACGCCTGACGGCCAAGAAACGGAAACCAAGAGACAAAAGGAGAAAAGCAAACGTTTTCGTTCACGTCCTACTTGTACGCTCTTTCTCAAGGTGACGTTCATTGTCCCAATAGAAAGTCTATGTCTGAGTGTCAAGGAAGGAGCAGCTACTGGATGTAGCTCCAGCGGCCGCTGGGCACGGCTTCTTTTCTCCCATCACACACGCCTGACGGCCAAGAAACGGAAACCAAGAGACAAAAGGAGAAAAGCAAACGTTTTCGTTCACGTCCTACTTGTACGCTCTTTCTCAAGGTGACGTTCATTGTCCCAATAGAAAGTCTATGTCTGAGTGTCAAGGAAGGAGCAGCTACTGGATGTAGCTCCAGGCCCTTGTGAGAGTCCCGTTCAGCCCAAGAGCGGCACGACCGCGTGGGTGCACTTATTCTCCCCGAATGGGCGGAAGCAGGTGAAAGCGCGACGGCTCCGTCCCGTTTCCCGACTCGGCGTTCCCAGCTGCCGGCGCCGGACGGACAGGCTCTGCTTTTGGGAGGAGAGTGTGCTGGTAAGCAGACACGGCCTCTTAGGAGCAATAGTATCTTCATGGATCTGCTGGAAACTGCTCTTTTTCTGGGAAAATGTGATAAATAGGAGGCTTATGGCAACCCCCACATTCACTCCCGTTAGGGTTAGAACAGGCGCGGGGGAAACCACTGTTCAGTGACGATTCCACGTGTTACGGAAACATCAGAACCTGAAGATAAAGGATGAGACGAGGCGGCGTGGCCGTTTGTGGCCGTTTGTGGCCGTTTGTGGCCGTGGCAGCCGCTGTCTGGCAGGTGGTTCCCAGTAGACCCTCTCAGCCCAGAGCCCGGGGAGGCCCTGCCGTAGGAAAGGGGTCTCCGAGCCTCTCAGCGCCTCTGCGTGCCCCGAAGAAACAGGCCCCCCCACATGGCCATGGTTCTGGGGTCACACAGACCTCCAAGCCCTCCGTGGCCTCTGGGAATCGACCCCGGCCCGGCCCCACCCAAGGTGCCTTCATTCTGGTGCTTTCTGGTTCTGTGTTTGTACGTTTGGGGTTCCCCGTGTCCCCCCACGGAGCACTGCGTGGGTTCCAGCCCCGCCGGGGCCGCCAGCTGCGTGCTTTCTCCGAGCGAGGCCTCCCCAGCGTCCGGGGCAGAGCCATGGTCTCCACGTGCCTTCTCTGCTCCCCACCCTCTTCCCCAGCTGCGCTACCTGCATGGACGTGCTGAGTGCACGACAAGGAACATGGATTTCTGGGTAAAATCATCCATAAAAACGTAGAGTCCCTGCTGCCGTCTCACTGAGGGTGAGATTATTCTGAGGAAAGACGAGCCCTTCTCGTTGACCTCCGGGTGGAGACTGTGGTTCCACCTGGGTGACGGCCCCGTCTGCCCCCCTCGGTCCCTGGGGCAGCGCCGCCTGCAGGTCGCAGCTCCCGTGGTCCCGGGGGCACCCGTCCTCACCGGCCGCCACATCTCCTTCCAGACGAGATGCTGAGTGGACATCTCCGAGCATCGCTGTCCGTCCCGCCCTCCATCTGTTTGGAAATTTGCCCGAATCCCCAGCAGGTGCCTGCACGGGCCATGCTGCCTCAGCACCCACCTCACTGAGCACAAACACCGCACTCCCGAGGGCGAGCCAGACGTGCCCTCTGGGACAGCGAGGAGGGACCTGGGGAGCGTTACGCTGAGCAAAACGAGCCAGTCAGAGAAAGACGAGCGTCCCACGAGCTCACCATACGTGGAATCCAGTGAACAAGATCAACTGACGAACAAATAGACCCAGAGACATTGAAACCGCCATAGACGGACGAATCTCAGAGGGAAGGGTGGAGATTAACCAGAGACCTTGTATGCATATGTGCTGAACCCATGGACACAGACAATAGTGGGGTGAGGGCCGGGGGCGGGGGCAAGAGTGGGGAGGGGGGTCGATGCGGGGAGAAGGGAGGCACCTGTAATAATTTCAGCGATAAAGATAAGTTAAACACTCACACCTAAATCGTGCCAACAGAAGGAATAAAAGGCACTTGCATAATTTAGTTGGAAAGCGGGGCCGACGCAAGAGTCAGTGTGTTGCCCCCTCGTGTCTGAAACACGAACCCTGTCGGGCTACACATGGATCTGGAACGACTGCCTAAGGCTCAGCTCACCTTCCCCGGTGGGAACGTCACTTACTATTTTCAGTGTGTCACTGGCGAACCCTGTGGCTAGAGTGTGAGCACGTGAGGGCAGCTGAAGCCGTGGCAGGACGTGTGGCCTGGTGCAAACCGCGTTTCCATTTCTAATGATGGCCAGACGCAAAAGCAGACACGGACTCATCGCACGGAGCAAACGTAATCCCGGCTCCAAATTGGGTCAACAGTGATCACAGGTACCGTCCCCGTTGTTCCTTCAAAACGAAATCCCTTGCAGCAGCTGACAGTGACCGTGCAGATAGCTAAACATTTGACCCTGACCACACTCACCCCTACTGACTCAGAAACATGTTTACTTCTCAACTCTCAGCTACGAAGATTTTAATCCCGGACACTCTCACTGCCTGATGATGCTGCCACCCGCCTGCCAGACGCTGGGTCAGGAAATTCCGGGAACATCATTTACTGTCTATTTTCAGTGTGTCACTGGCGAACCCTGTGGCTAGAGTGTGAGCACGTGAGGGCAGCTGAAGCCGTGGCAGGACGTGTGGCCTGGTGCAAACCGCGTTTCCATTTCTAATGATGGCCAGACGCAAAAGCAGACACGGACTCATCGCACGGAGCAAACGTAATCCCGGCTCCAAATTGGGTCAACAGTGATCACAGGTACCGTCCCCGTTGTTCCTTCAAAACGAAATCCCTTGCAGCAGCTGACAGTGACCGTGCAGATAGCTAAACATTTGACCCTGACCACACTCACCCCTACTGACTCAGAAACATGTTTACTTCTCAACTCTCAGCTACGAAGATTTTAATCCCGGACACTCTCACTGCCTGATGATGCTGCCACCCGCCTGCCAGACGCTGG